TGAAACCGTACATTTAAAGTGTACGACGGTATATTTTGTCACTGCACGTTGTCGATGGTTAGGCATGACTATGGTATTGAAGAAAAATATGCGCAGGGACGACCGCAAGGGAGGCAAAAACGAAATCCCTTGGATTTGCCCTTATGAAGTCGTGGAACACGTAGGTACGAGTGGTTTTCGACTGAGAAACAAGACTTGCCAATTCTTTAAACAGACAGTGAATGGAATAAGTTTGAAAGTTTTCAAATCTAGCACTGTGAGTAGCAGTACGTACTGATACTACTGCTAGTGAGGAATATCAAGAGTATTTATTGCTGGACGTGTAAATGAAATAGAGATAATGCGACTGAAATATAACGTGACGTAAATGTATTGTTAATTCGAACATGACTGTATTCACGCCCGGATTCACGCCTTTTATAAACTGTAATCAAAGTCAATGCTTCAGCTGGGTTATATTCGAGTATAATAACCCAGTTAATACGTGTAATGTGTGACGTCATAACGGTGGGTCGTAGTAATGGCGGATCATGATGAATTATTCGAAACAATTTGGTGAATTTTCATGTTCGAATCGTAATATAGACCTCAGAGCAGGGTTACTAGTTTCGAATAACACGCCGCTGGTCTCGGCACAAAGCTTTCGAACCCCTCACTCCCTTCGGTCGTTCGGGGTAGAGAAAACGTTTGTGCCGAGACCAGCTGGGTAATATTCGAAACTAGAAACCCTGCTCTTTGGTCTATATTTCTTAATTCGAACATGACTGTATTCACGCCTTCTATAAACTGTATATTCGCGAACAAAACCCCTGGTAATACGTGTAATGTGTGACGTCATAACGGCGGGTCGTAGTAATGGCGGACCATAATGAATATTCGAAACATTTTATCGATGTCCATTTTCATTTCATCCAAACTCCCTTCGGTCGTTTGGGGTAGAGACAACGTTTGTGCCTAGCCCTGCGGGGTAAATTCGACAATATTACCCCTGCTCTCCTGTCTATAATTTATGGATATGAACTAAAAATTATTTGACTTCGATCGATTGCGATCTTTTGTGTATATTATGTGCTTAAAATGCTAGTAATGTCCTAAGATAATTTGTAATTAATAAAGATATTCTTCCTTAAATCGATTGTTTTTATAGTTGTTTATGCAAATCTTATTATGACTAACATTATTCTACTCTATCTGTTGATTATAATTATTGATACTCATTTGGGAGACCATTTTCCAAGTAAAAATGGTCCCATCTGGACCATTCACCCTAGCTATAGGACAACATTTCCTATGTGTTAGGTGTCCGGTGTAACAGAAATAATGGTCCCCTAGGAATGAATATCCCCCGGACCTATATCCCTAGGAACCCCGGTCCGTAGGACCGGGGTTCCTAGGGATTTAGGTCCAAGGGGGACCATTATTGAAATGCAGTACTAGGACCTTTATCCCTAGTATTCATTGTCCTATGTTATATATAGTGTCCCTAGGACAATTCACACTGAGGGGACAACCATTTCTGTCACATCAGAAGCAGGGTTAATTGTCCTCTACATTATAAAACTATATAGTATATACATTATAATATATAACAATAATCAAAATCGATTTTCTGCATCCCAACTGCTGTGGCTGAATGGATAGAGGCGCTGGTGAGTACTGTATATAATTATTTGTTAGATATTATTTCCCATTATTCTAGGTTCGAATCCCCATCAAAGCGCCTTGTGTATCTTTTTGTTCTTGTGTATACAGGTATATAAGGGAGACGTTATTTTTTATAATCAATCTTATCTAATGTTTCGAATCATGCAGAGCTGGACCCTTTGCTATGCTTAAGGTGAACGCACATTGGACATTTCGAGGTAACGGTTGAAGGTTTTTAATTAATATTCATGTACTTGGTATAATTTTAAAAATCAAAAATGTACGTTGTCATTTCCAATGTACGTTATCCCTGTAATTGAAATGTAAACAATGCAATGATTTAATTTCAAAACGCATTAAGGGTTTTTGAGTAACAAGTGATGTTCAACGAACATGTTCATGTATCCCTGGTACAGATAAACAGGTAAAAGTGATTTTTACCTCTTGTTGAATGCTATTTTATTACATGAAAGTGTTGATATGGGGGATTAATATTTCCCCGGGGGTAGTTATCTTCCAACCTCTTTGACCATTCGGCGTCGGTACGTTACGTTATGTTGCACTTTTATGAATTTTAATAATCTTAAGGAGTTCATGGAGAGACATATACTATCTAATCGAAGATGACTTTAGAAATCCCGTTTATGCTATATCTGGAAAGTGCAGAGGTTCAATATGTTCAATCAAGTTGAATTAGTAATACTGGATTGTTCCGTTTCAGTTTAAAATGAATCTGATCCCCCTGCCCCTTAATAGTGTTTTGCAAAATACGTTGTCTACATTAGAGTTAACTGTGAACTCAGATATGTAAGTTCAATGGGACAACGTACATCGAGATGACATCGTACACTTATGATTTTTTTATTTTTATTATTTGAGCAAAAACGTGAATATTTATTAAATCTTCAACCGACCTTAATTTTGTAACGTCGGGAAACATATTCTCATAAAAATAATCAACACTCTTAGGCGACAGGGTAAAAAATGACCAAAGGAAATGTGAGATTAACAACGAAAAAACTCGAGCGCTGCCCGAAAATCTTTTCACGGAATTAGAAAGGTAAATGTCTGCAAAATCGAATACACACGAAATTAAACATAAAATCCCCTAAGGATTCCTCAGATTCCTCAATTTTTAAAACCCACACCACACCCACATCATCGTTTTTGCTTCACATCAGTTAGAATAGGTGACACCGTACATTTACAGTGTACGACGATATATTTTGTCACTGTACGTTGTCGATGGTTAGGCATGACTATGGTATTGAAGAAAAATTTGCGCAGGGACGACGGCAAGGGGGGCAAAAACGAAATCCCTTTGATTGGCCCTTATGAAGTCGTACGTAGGTGGTTATCGACTGAGAAACAAGACTGGCAAACTCTTAAAACAGACAGTGAATGGAAAAAGTTTAAAAGTTTTCAAATCTAGCACTGTGAGTAGCAGTACGTACTGATACTACTGCTACTAGGAATATTAAGAGTATTTATTGCTGGACGTGTAAATGAAATAGAGATAATGCGACTGAAATATAACGTGACGTAAATGTATTGTTAAATATAATTTATGGATATGAACTAAACATTATTTGATTCGATCTATTGCGATCTATTGTGTATATTATGTGCTTTAAAAAAGCAAGTAATGTCCTAAGATAATTTGTAATTACTAAATAAAGACATTTTGCCTTAAATCGATTGTTTTTATAGTGTTGTTTATGTAAAATCTTATTATGACTAACATATTCTACTTTATCCTATGCCAAGTAGAGTTTTAGGGAGATAAGTTGGTAAGATATATCCCGTATCCTGATTTTGAGGTTTCCATATCCAGAACCTCCATATCTCCCGCCATATCTCCCGCTTCGTTGCATATCTTCCCGCTTCGGTGGATATCTTCCCGCTTCCGGTAATACAATAAAATGACTTTGCATATGAATGTTTATTTATTTTTACACCTTGTACTATTGAAATGGCCATATGCCCCTGAAAACTCTACTTGGTATAGGATAAAGCAGTTATGTACGGTCGGTTTGGATATTGGGTTCATCCCTCGTGAGATATGCACATCTACCTTCGGTCCCTCAGGTAGATATGCATATCTCCCTCTGGATAAACCCCATATCCAAAACCTCCCAGTACATAACCCTTATCTATCTGTTGATTATAATTATTGATACACATTTGGGAGACCATTTCTCCTAGTAAAAATGGTCCCATCTGGACCATTCACCCTAGCTATAGGACAATATTTCCTAGGTGTTAGATGTCCGGCGGGCCAATTTTCCTAGGGTAAATGGTCCAGGGACCAATATCCCTTAGTGAAAATGGTCCGGGGGACATTATTTTGGGGGGACCTACATTACTTCTACACCGGCGGGCCAATTTTCCTAGGGTAAATGGTCCAGGGACCAAAATCCCTTCGTGAAAATGGTCCGGGGGACATTATTTTTTTTGGGGGGGGGACCTACATTACTTCTACACCGGTACTCGGTACCCG